TCATCCCCATGATTTTAATCTTCAAAATCCAAAAATATTAGGGTATGTTTGAAACACTTGACATTTATTTATCCAATTTCTTTTCTTCATTTTTTTTTTTACAATTTTCTATAAATATTATAAAAATATAATATATACATATATTAATATAATATATATATCTTATATACTTTATTCATTACAGAAACTCAATAATTAAATATAAACATTATATTTTATATTATCGACAAAATTTTGCATACTCAACATAAAATTCATTAAAAAGTACAAAATGAATATAAATTTATTTTTTACTTTTAGCTTAAATTACTTTTGTAATTTAATTATTTTTAAGTGAAACCTACTTATAAGTTATAATCACTTATTTCTATGTTAGTATACAAATATGCTTATATACATGTTAAATTTATTTTTATAACTATTTTATAATTATGTATAATTTACAATGAGAAATGGTTTCGAGAAATTGTGGGAAGAAAAATTTACTACGAATTGTTTAGCATGAGATTTTTTTTTTTCTTGATATATTAAAAAAATCCCTATTATTTAAATAATAAAATTATTGCCACATAGAATTATTTCACTACTTACATAATATATATTCAAAGGATGACATAATTAAGATGGCGACTTGATAGACAAAGAGTACTTGACTTCTTTAATCTAATTTCAACTAGAAAATCATTAATCAAAACATTCAAGTTTAGTATAAAATTAAAGAAATTAATTTATTTTTGTTGAAAAATCAATCGTAATTCTGATTATACGAAGGTGTGTTCTTCTGGGCGATTTTTCCAAATTTCTATGAGTTATATTATTTTTTTAAAAAAATACATCATATCATATACATGTTTTTTTAATTTTTATTCTATATTGAAAATTAATTTTTATTTATATCATATCATTCGCTATTTTTCAAAATTTTTACTATTCAAATTTTAAATTCAAAATCCAAACACACAATTTATAATGTGAAATGACCAAATGTGTCCACACAATGGACTCGACAATTAATGTGAAAAACGGTCAAATTAATTTTAAAATCTCGGGTCCAAATGTCAATATGATATTGTAAATTTCAAACTCGTTGCCATTTTTAGCGGTACCAATTTTAATCATATAATGTTCAAGTTATATTTTATATTCTATCCATCTTAATACAATAGTCCTTTTAAAATTTTTATCCATCTCAAAATAATAGTCTCACTTTGTTATAAGGACAAAAAAAGTATTTTATCTGTATTTTTTACCCACTACTAATATAATATTAATATTCTTTAAATCCCGTGTCAAATACAACCCAAATTATAGTTCTGATATCTTTTATTCACATGATTTTGAGGGCAACGATTCCAATATAAACATTACTAGTTAATTCAATTAATTGCCCGTCCTAAACCACATAGCAAACTATAATAATAATAATAAACTTAAATATCTATATATATAATAATAATAATAAGAAAAGAGAAGGAGAAAAAAACATTAATATAAAGAGAGGGGATATAATATCACAAGTATTATTGATAATTAGATTATATTTGACACTGATTAGTAAAAATTAGAGATATTTTTTACAAAATTAATATTAGATGGACAAAATTTGAAAAGACGGTCAAATATAAGGATATAAATTGGGAATATACCATGACATATGCGGTCAGTTCATAAATTTTTGCATAATCGATTAAAGTTGTGAATTTGAAAGAATGTATCTGATTTTTCTGGATGAACAAGAAATTTGATAAATTTAATTGTTAAATGAAGTAATTTGGTTGAGAAATATGTTTTTTTTATCTTAATTAGAATAACAGTGAACAAATACTTGTTTCGTAAAAATGTTCAGAAGAATTTGATGGAAATATATATTTTGTATATTTCCAATCAAATATGAAATTAAATTATAAAAGAATAAATATTGTATTTTGTTATAATTCATATTTTAATGTATAATTAAATAATTACATAATAACATTAAAGAAACCACGATATAATTTAAACACTTATTCAAAAGTACTAAGATGTAATCCATGTTCTATCATCAATAATTCTCTTATCACAATTTTGTTTTTCTTTTCGTTTATTACTCATCATTCCACATCCACCCGATGACATCGAAAATAAAGGTGGTTGATTATGTATTAATATAATCTATATTATTTGAAATACAAAAATAGAAATTATTACAATCAAACATAAATCAAATATTTATTTATTTATTTATTTATATTTTCATCAAACATAATATATTTGAATCCATCACAAACAGTTTAGCCAAACAAATCGAAAAGACTGAAATTTATTTCAATTATGACATATCTGTTTGATCTGTTCGGTTAATTTGCTCGGTTCGATTTAAAATTGAACTTATAAATTTCGATTTCAGTTTCGATTTCGGTTATCGTTTTCAATTTTCAAACCGAAAAAACTAAACTTTAAATAAAATAAAATTTAAGTTTATATATATATATATATTATAATTTTGATTTTTAAGTATTTGTATTTTAATATTTGACCCATTTGTAAGTTGTCAGGAACATACAATTGAAGATTGATGAATTTACAGTAGTGTTGGAAAACGAATTAATTGAGCATCATCATAAGGGTCCCAAAAAAGTCGATTTGTTAGATTTTAAATCGAACCGAATTAGTTTGGTTCATTTAATTTAATTTAATTTTACAAATTTTAGTTTGATTTCGATTTTGATTATTACAAATAAAAAATCAATCAAAATTCAAAATTCGATTCGAACCGATCAATGCTACGCGGTAGCATCAACTATCAACTTAGGTCAAATCTTAATACAATTATTGCCACATAAAATTATTTCACTACTTACACAATATATATATATATATATATTCAAATGATGACATTATTAAAATGGTGACTTGATAGAAAAAAAAATGTATGACTTGACTTCCTTAATCTAATTTCAACTAGAAAATCATTAAATGAAACATTCAGGTTTAGTATATAATTAATTTAATTTAATTTATTTTCATTGAAATATTAATATAATAGTGAATTGACCAAATGTGTCCACAAAGTGTACTCATAATTAATGTAAATATAATAGTGAAGTTAATTTTCAAACTCTTGGGTCCAAATGTCAATATGATGTTGTAAATTTCAAACTCCTTGCCATTTTTGGTTGTACCAATTTTTATTGTATATAGCAATTTTTTATTTGTGTATTTAAAGTTTTTTTTTTTTTTCAATATTTTTATAGTACTATTTTATATAAAAATATAGGTTTTGTTCCCTTGTGTTTTCTTGGATGAATGAATTTTTTTAGGTTAGATATAAAAAATCGTGATAATATAATAAAAAACAATATTTTATATTGAATTATTGATTTTTTGGAATGAATAAACAATATATATTATATATATTGTGTTAACATATATGTATATATTATTTTTTTGTAATATTGATAAAAAATTGTATCATCTAAAAAAATATTGGAAGAACATATTCATATAATTTTCCTACAAATAACACTTAATTTAATTTGAAAGAAAAAATACAAATATATATAATTGTGTATATATATACACACATTATGTATGTATATATATATTGATATATATAGATATGATGATTATTATATAGCATACATTTCGAATTATATGGTCATTATTAGTTAAATATTAAATATATAATATAATATAACATCATTATTTTTAATTTTTAATTTTTAAATTTTTTTCTTTGAACAATATTTTCAATGTAATGTTTTCTATATAAAAAAAAATATTTTAAGTAGTAAAAAAAAACTTGAAATAATTGTGAAACGAACAAAATCACAATTTCATTATAAAATGAGAATGATAAGTCCGCAACCAATTTGTGAGGATATAATTAAGAAAAAAAAATCCAAAAAAATAATAATAATTGATTTTACTTATCCAATGGCCTTTTATTTGTGAATGGTAATAATCATTTCAATATTAAAATGTTTGATAAATTTGAGATAAAGAAAAATGATAATAATATAAATAGTAAAGTTTGATAAATGATACTAATATAGTATAAAGAAAAAACAAATAATAGGTTTTATTTTTGAAAAATGTATAATGTAAATCGTAAGGTTTGACAAATTTGGGATAAAGAAAAACACAAGTAACATGTAATGATACTATAAATTAATAATCAAATTAAATTAACTACAATAGGGTGTTTATTTTGTATTTTTAGATAAATAAATTTTTAATGTTAGAATTGGAAAATCATGTCGGCAATATAGAAATAATATTTTGTATTGATTTAATGACTTTTTAAAAAAAATAAATATAGTATATTATATATGATTATATTAATATGCATATATTATATTATTTTTGTATTTATGAAAAAATAAATTGGATAAACAAACTTGTATTCACATTGAATTTGGGATGGAACTAGAAGAATTCAAACTTTCATTGAGGAATATAATTATGTATCTATGAATTTTTATATAAAAAGGCACTTTGTTTATTTCAAACTTTGTTTTATTTATTTATTTTTTTTTTTTACTATAATTTTCACGGTTAAAAAAATATACTATTTTACCTAACTAATAAAACATGACATCAAATAATTGTTCAAACTAAAATAAAATCAAAATTTTAATAATGTGTTCTTTTTGCAAAATAATAATAATAATAAATAAATAAATAATATACATATTTTTTTTAAAAAATAATATATTATACATATTTATTATTTTTATATTAGCTAGTTCCCTACGATGATAGATGATATTTCTATTTTTATACATTAATTATTATTGTTTAACATGTTAATTACCATTCACACGTATATATTGAATCATGCTCTCACTGTCCCCCAAAATTATGCTAGTTTATCTTTTGTTAATTCATACATAATTTATTTATATTAAAATATTTTATCCACTTATAATTTTATTAACATTGCTTTAATAAATAATCAACAAAAAATTAATCAATAAATAAAACATTCAAAGAATTATTATATATACCCATGCCATACAACAACAAATATTATGATCTCATTTGTTCGTATTTCTAACCTATAAATAAATGAGACATGGTCTTATTCATACACACTAAAAAACATATAGTTTGCGAATGAATTTTAATTTTCGATATCCCTTGGCCTATAAAGATTCACATGGCGATCATGTATCGATTGAACAGGTCTTGCATTCCTTTCGGATTCCTACAATTTTTAATTACGATCAATAATCAAAATAAATAATAATAAAGAAAAAACTCAAAACATGTGTATATAGACTTAGAAATATAATTAGTGCAACTTACATCATGAACAGCGTCGCGAATCGTAACTACTTGTTCTCTTGTAACTGTTCTTATCTAAAAAAAAAGAAAGAAAACCGATTATTCGAAATGTCGATAATTAACTTAGATTGAATAATAAAAAAAAAAGGTACCTTTTTCACAATCGTCCATATAATATCTTGTGTGCAAGGAGGGGTCGTCAATGATCCAATATACCTATAATACTTGCGACTTCCAAATTTTATGAGTCTTGGATCGATAATTCCAATGGTCTTTTCGACATCACGAGTGTCGGCAATTGCCTTTAAATTGTGTTTCATCTGTATATGGACATCAATATAATTAAAAATCAAATTTAGTCGTTGTTATTATTATTATTATTACTCTTTTCGTTCCACATAATTTATCCTTATTTTCTATTTTCGTCCGTCTCACATAATTTGTCCTTTTATTTTTTGGAAAATTGATTATACACTTTAATTATATTCTAAAATTTAAAATTTAAATTTTTTTTAATCTTAATTAAACTATTTAGTTATCTTAATTTATAATTATTTTTACTAATTATACTTTACCTAAACTATCGTATCTACCGTAACGTCCATCTTATTTTTTTTTAAAGTAATGATAAATCATCAATATTAACAGTTATGAAATTTAAATATTTACCATGGAAAGGAAGGAATCGGGCCGTCCAATTTTATACATGATGCCAATCACAGCCGTTCGATTGTCATTAGTTTGATGGACGAGATGAACTTCCATATCAAACCTGTTAGTATTATAAATAATTAGTCATTAATAAATTTGTCGATTTAAATAAAATAAAATAACAATATATAAATAAAATAAAATAAAATAAGAACCTTCTGCCATTGATGGTGTGTTCAGAAGGTGTGTGCCAATGGCACTGTCTAAGTTGATAAAGGCTTCCATTGATCTCAATATGCCCAGCTCCATTTCCCCATCTTATCTGCAAATTAATTAATTAATTTCTTAATTAGGGTTCTAATTTAATTATGGTCTTATTAATTAATGTATTTATTAGTCCTTAATGGTGGCTAGACTAAATGAAGTTATTTTAATTATTACTTATTAATTAAAGAGCATTGATAATCGTGGTACGTAACTATAGCTATACCAGCAGCCATATATTATATTATATATATATATATATCCCACTTTTAAAATATATTAATTTATATTTTATAGTATATAATAACTATTCTTCCTTCATTAGGTCACCCAACATTTTTTATTAAAATAACTTTGTTTGGGACGTGGCTCGTTTAGGCTAGTTTAAGATTGTAAAAAAATAAAGTTCAATTGTGTGTTTAAATATTTAGACGGATATTTTAATAAAAGTGGCTAATAATAATTATTATTTTTGTATTTTATAATAAAAAATACAAAAAATAATGGGTTTTTTTACTAAAAAAATGGAATTTTTTTTTTATGACAATCCAAAAATAAAAATGAGTATAGATTTAAATATATAAATATATATATATATATTATGACGTGGGAATTTGCATAACTATATATTCTTCAAGTGTATATTGTAAAAAAATATTAAACTTTAAAGTATATTTGATATGATTTAAATACTTTGTTTTTTCAAAAGATTTTTTAGTTTTTTATTTGAAATTATACAATCTCCACAATTTTGTATTAAAATATATATTTATTCTTATAAAATTTTGCATTCAATCAATATTAACGCAAAACATTGAAAAAAAAAAAAAGACTATTGAAAAATTAAAAATATTTTGTTTGTGTTTCATACATAAATTAACATTATTCAATCGATACTATTTTCGATAAAAATATATTATTTTCTCATAAAATATTATTTAAATTGTATAAAACCTCAATTTTAAATAAAAATCAAACAAACCCTAATTTGTTTTTAGAATATTAGAGATAATATCTATTTGATTTGATGATTGTAAAAAAAAAAAACAAAAATCAAAATATAATAAAGATTTACAATGGAAGGATTGTGAAGTTCATATTTAGTTAAAACATTTCAATTTTCACCACCCTTCAAATTAAAAAAAAAAAAAAAAAAAAAAAAAAAAAAAAACCTAATTGATAAGTGTACGTAACTATATTTATAATTTTACCATCATATCATGTCCTCGGTTGATTAGGGTAGCATTTGCCGGCTTGTAAAACCTTTTAAGTCTTCCCAAATGCGACACTATTTGAACCCTCTCGTTGGTCATATCGATCGGCGATTGCATTTTTCCTATATTGCATTTTTTCCATTCTTCGTGGATTTCTCCCCAATGCGCAGGACCGATCTCACTATTTTCATCGTAGCTAAACTCTTTCTCATCCTCTGCATCGATACAACCAAAACACGTAAAAAAAATAAATAAATAAATACTACTTCAGTTCAGCTTTAAAAGTCTCATTTACTTTTTGCGTGTTGGTCTTTGAATATTAATTATTATATCAAAATGTAGTACAAATTAAGAAAAAATTGCAAAAATACTTCAATTAGTGTTTTATAATATTAATAGAAGGACATTCGTACAAAAAATTATACAAATATAAGGATATTTTTAGTATTAAGTACAATGACGCAAAAAATAAATGTGATCCTCAGAGGCGGACGAAATGGAGTATATTACTACCAATAATTCACCAATTATACACACACATATATATGTAGAGTTATGTTATCTTTGAATTTATTTTTCAGGTTCTTAATTTATTATGCGATCCTTAAGCTACTTCTTTGTCACAAAATATGACATCTAAATTTTATTTAAACTAGAATTAAAATACGGACATGAATGTCGAGAGAGCTTACCAACTTCTTGAGCCGAGATTAAGGAAGAAAGAAGGATGGCGAAGAAGAAAGAGTAGTGCAATAGTGTGACAATACGATGAATCTTGTTCATGTTTGATCGATCGATGGATGAAATATTTGTTATACTTGTTATTTAGCAAGAACTACAACCTCGTTTTCTGCTAAATATCAATTGATATGATATGTGAGTTGATAATTGTATGATTGTTGGGAGGGGAGGGAGAAGAGATATATATATATATATATTGATACATACAATATGTGTAATGTGTGAACATGGCTTAAAATATTAATGAAATATGACCTGAATTTGATTGAATACACTTCTTACCATATCGGGTGTGGACCAAATCTTATCACCTCATTCGATATCTTTGAAAATACATCTATAACTTTGCCGATCAAAAAGAAAAAAATAAATAAATAAATAAATTTGTTTGTCTAGGGTTTTATTTATCTATTTATTTATGTTTTTGGTTTCGAATTTGGCTTTCATATATATATATATATATATATCTTAAAAGCTTTATATTTAGTATCTATTTTTTTTTATATTATAGTATTAAAAATTAATTAATTTAATATTTAAAATAATAAGCTAATATTTATTTATATAATGTAAAACAACTATTTTAATTTAAAGTTTCAATTCACAAACCTACAACCAAACATACCCAACTTTTGTATAATGTGTAAAACATTATTCTATCATATATATATATATATATATATATATTTCTCCCCAATTAAAAATGTTGTATCAAATACTTTATTATTATTATTATTATTTTACTTTAAAAGATTCGTAAGCATTTTTTTTTAAAAAAAAAATTAAATATAAACGTAATATTTTCTAAATAAAAAATATATATTAATGTGATAGTACATTATATATATATACACTACTTGAGTTCATTATTTATCTATCTATTTACCGTTTTAATTTGTTCTCAATATTACATTAAAAAAAAAAAAAAAAAATCTAATATTTTAGACAATACTACAAAAATGTCATAAAAAATGAGTTTAAAATTAAAAAGATTTTTATTTTTATTTTTATTTTTCTATTGTACTATTTACTTGTAAAGTATTAATATTTTAAAATCTACATGCAAAAATCAAATAAATAGTTTTATAGTAGATGAAGGAAATAAATGATTTTGCAGAAAAAAAATAAAAATATATTGGTTAATATAATATAAATAAATATTTAATATAATATTTTTTCTAGAATAAATAAACAAATGAAAAGTGGGGTTGGAACATCCAAACGCACAAGCAGACTTTCGTGGCTGCTAAACATAACATATCTGATGTAGGAATAAGGTTAAAAAAATGTTGGGTGTCTTTTTGGATTAAATATTAGCTGAATGATATATATATATATATATTGAATATCATATTTTGAAATTATATACTCCCTCCTCCGTTGTATTTATTTAATTTTTGTACATAAATTTTAGAATATTAACATTTTATGAATAATAATAATAAAATAGAATAATAAAAAAAAAAAAAAAATTGGACCTTTAAACTTGATTTTTTAAGGGCATTATAATATAGCATAATAGGAATATTTTTTATTTAAGTGAGAAATATAATTACTAAGAAAATGAAACAAATACCTTGAAAATGGACGAACAAAATATTAATAACATATAATTTATATTAATAAATACATTATATAAATTGACAGCATGTGACAATAGTTCATAAAATACGCAAAATATACTACTATTGATTTATGCACATATTATTTTTCTATGTGATAAATTATTTTGTTTATGTGTTGATTCGGGCTAATTAGAGCCGTGCTGATTAATCATAATTAACACCCTAACCATCCTCAGTATGTAAGAATTATCCGAAAATTTAGTTGAGTTATCGTAATTTAAAATTTATAAATTAAAATTGAATGGTAGAGTTTGTCTAAAAACACAAACAAACCTATATGATGAATTTTTATGAACTCTAAGAAAAATAATCAACTCTTGTAAAATTAAAACTACCGTTACATTACATCCCATCCAAGTTGGTATTTTAAAAAGATAATATTTCATCTGTCCGCGTCTAACAGTCATATTTACTTTTTGCCGTTATCGTACTTAACATTAAAAATATCTTTATATTTGTATAATTTTTTATACAAATATCGTTCTATTAGTATTATAAGACACTAATGAAAGTATTTTTTTACTATATTTTTGTTATTTGATATAATAATTAATATTCAAGATCAATACGCAAAAAATAAATGAGACTCTTAGTGCCGGAGTAAAACAAAAATGAATAATTTCACATTGCAAATCATTATTTCTTTTCTTTTCTTTTTTTCAATAAAAAAGTGAAACAAAAAATCTATATATATATATATATATATATGTGTGTCACACCTTGCTCCCAAATTATAATAAATTAAAAGGCAGCAAAAAACATTTCAAATTTTTGGAAGCTTCGATCAATAGTTTTGAAAATGTCGAGACATTTGACTGACCATCATATTCATAAAATTAAAGATGAAGACACAAGTCCATAACACATGCAAGTCCTATTTTATTAATTAATCAATTATATATATATAAATTGACTTTCAAAATCGTAGCTTTGAAAAATAAATAAATCATCAGGCTGCTTTACATGGTGGAGTGCTACAAAATTAATTTGATTATCACTGCTTCTATTTCATATATATATATATATATATATATTATTTTTATAAATACTTCATCCGTCCGTCAAATTTATTTATTTATTTTTTTTATAGTTTGTCTATTAAATTTATTATATTACTAATTTTGGCAAAGTCAATAAATCTATATTTAATTATTATCCTCCATTCCAACGCTTATTTACAACAAATATCACTGTATTATATTATCTCTCTTCATTTACTTTATTTTTTAACTAAATTTTTAAAAATATCTCCAACTATCTGTCGTTTTTCTAATAAAATATTTATTTTTATTAATTCCCATAATGTCGGGCCCAAATAAACTAATTTTAATGGACGGAGAAAGTATATATTATAATAAATGGAAACTTCTTGGCAATGAGAGGAAAAGGTTGAAGAAAGTTCTAGACAAAATATATAATAATGAGGGAGTCATTTTAAATTAAATATATATATATATGTATTATTGGAATTAAATAATTATATACTCCCTCCGTTCCTTAACAATTTATCTATTTTTTTATTTTGGTCTGTTCCATAACAAAGTTTTTATTTTCTTTTTTTTAGTAATTGTACTATATATCTAGCATTACAAATACCCTTCAAATTTACAATATATTACACAAATATCATTATCTTTATATCATACAATACTAATAGGGTTAATTTAGTCTTTTTATTTTTATTTTTATTTTATTTTAATATAATACTAATATTTCTAAAATTTCGTGCAAAAAACAAATGAATATATAGGTCCGAGAGCAGAGGGAGTATATTCATTCAAGAAATGCATACATCAGCAATGAAGTGTATTCAATTGATGACATAATTAGATTCGTCACATGATCAAAATTAGGGTCAGACTTGATTTCCTCATTGATTTAATTTCAACTTGAAAGTCATAAGACAAATACATTGAATAGAAAAATAAAATAAATTACTGTGTCATTTTGGAGTCTCATTTTATTTTTTACTTTGAATATGATGTATTGTAAAATTAAATATTGGACTTTTATTGAAAATTACAATTGTTATATAGTAAAATAGCTTAAATAAAATAAAATAAAATAAATAGAGCCCATGATTTTGACCCACTAATTTGTGAATGTGACCAAACTAATTAATGTTTGCAGTGGAATGAAAATTCATGCCCAATGTCAAAAAACAAATTATGATATAAAAATAAATAAATAAATTAAATGGCTACATTAGATAATAGTAGAAAACGTGTGTCACAAGAATTTGTGGCAAAATAAATAAATAAAAATGCAATGATTTGTTGTGGAAGTTATAATGGCATGCATTATAAGATATCAATATTCCAAGTTTCACACACACACACGCACACGATATGAGAAAGCCATTTTAGGAAATATAAATAATTAAAATATTTAATTTAATTAAGACAGTTGTTATTTTTAATTATTATTTTTAAGTGAGCTTTGAAAAATAAACGTAAATATTATTGACATTTTAATTTATCAATATTTTGTGTGTTTGTTTGGGGGATTGGATTTCCAATCCACTGATCATCCCATTTTTTTCCCCGAAAAAACATCAAATCAAACGCTTATTTTTTATATTATACTAAAAATCAATTTTACATTCAAAACATCACATCAACACCTATTTATATCACATCATACAACTACTCAAATTTAAAATTTTTACTATTCAAATCTCAAGTTAAAATCCAAACCCCCGAACAAACACACCCTAAAAATAATTTCTAGTCTGTTTAACTCTAGAGTATTACGGTATTTTAGTAAAAAGGTACAAACATTTTGATTTTGTATTTTGCTAAATTTTCATAAAAATAATTTTTTTTTAAAATATTTGAATATAATAGAGGTAAAAATATTTTTAAACTATCAAAGTTAATAAAAAAAGATATATTGTTACATGTGTGTTTATTTGTGAAATTTTGATTTTGAATAGTAAAATTTTGAATTGAAATAGTTGTTTGGTGTGATATAAATATATATTAATGTAATGTTTTGAATGTAAAATTAATTTTAGTATAATAAAGTAACTAAAAAATGAATATTTGATTTAATATTTTTGAAAAAAAATAAAAAATTAGAATAATAAACTTAGAAATAAAATCCCATAAGTAAATAGAACCATAGTTTTTCAAAAGTCTTTTTTCTTAATTTTAAAATTTTACCATACCCATATAAATTACATTTTTTAATCCAAAGTCCATCTCTACTCCCGACTCCCACATTCGTGTCAATACCACAATAGTCGGCAAAAATAATCATGGCTCAAAAATTCGATCAGGGCACAACATGAAAAATAAATACTTAGGCTTCAAAATTAGACACAAATAATTTTTAGGTTAGACCAACCGGGCAGGGCTGTTCCTGACTTTCGAAAGGCCCGATGCGAAATAAAAATTTAGGATCCTTAAATATATACATATATAATATTTTTTACCTATAATAAAAATATAAATGAAAAAAAAAATATTTTTTTCTAAGTATAAATTTAGTTTCGAAACTTAGCATAAATTTCTTATTTACTTTAAAAATTGCGTAACGCCCCTTGTATTTTAACAAACGCCATATGAAACTCCCACCGTGCAAAAACAAATATAGATAAAAAACACCATCTTCTCATCACCCAAAAAATATAAAAATGAGTTTCATGAGACGTTTTTAAAAGTATAAAAAGCTTATGTAATTTTTAAAGGATACAGAGAATTTACTTTCGAAACTACAAAAGATTTATTGACAATTTTGCCTAATAGAATATAAATTATTAAATAAAATACAACTTTTTTTTAGCATTTTTAGATAAAATATAATAATAGTATTAATATTAATTTTGTCTAAACAATCTTAAAACAAAAATTAGGGACCCCAATTTAGAACTTAACCACGAATCATATTTTTATATTAATACACTAACATCAAATAGTTTGTATATATAAATAATTTATATATAATATAAATAAATAATGGACCTCAATTTAGATTGGGCCCTGGGCGAGCGCCCTTTTCACCCGGGCCAAGGCCGGCCTTGCAACCGAGCTCGAATAAAATTTAATTTAAGTATTTCTTTAATTATATAATTTGTGGCACAAGTATGTACTTTTTCTGACTGGCTTCCCTCCGAGCACTATCGCGACTAACTTCGAGAAGCTGCTAGGTGAATGACACAACATCACTGCCAGTATTCAAAACGATTTCTCTTGATAATGACAATTGCTTATGTGTTGAGATTTGATTTTATATTTTTATTTTTAACCGAATGAATTCTAGAAGTATTTTAGTAATTTAGTGAATTAGGTAAGTATATGCAGAGTTCTTGTGAGACTAATACCTATGACAAACTCTAAATATAATCGTATATTTCCCACTGAAGTTCGTGAGGCTAAATGGGAAACTAATGGAGTTGATAGCCTCACGAACTTCAGTAGGAAATACACGATTATATTTAGAGTTACAAGAACTCTGCACATACTTACCTAATTCACTAAATCACGACGATACTTCTAGAATTCAATCGGTTAAAAATAAAAATATAAAATCAAATCTCAACACATAAGCAATTGCCATTATCAAGAGAAGGCGTTTTGAATATTGCCAGTGATTCTATGTCATTCACCCAACGAATCACAAATTTATCCTTGAATTTCTCCGGCAGCTTCTCGAAGTCAGTCGTGATAGTGCTTGGAGAGAAGGCAGTCAGAACAAGAAAATATCTGCGCCGCAAATTACTGAAATCAGAAATGCAATATAGTCTATACAGTCATATGCGAGGAACAATGTCGAAGAAAATTTCACATTCAGATTCAGGGTTTCTAGCAGAAGATTTGAAAATCTGGATGCACATATTCATCAACATATTCATCAAAGTAAAATTGAAAAACTCCAATCTTTGCATCTCACTTCCACAATGAAACAAAATCCGTTGAATCGTTTATAGCAAGACACATATAGTTGATCAGACCAATATAAAAACCCAACCTTTTGTGAATTTCTAAAGCTCCAAACAATATAAACAGCCAGAACAAGACCAGACCACTAAGAAATGTCATTGCCTGGCCATGATCGAAGCTGCAAATAATCCATATTATATAAAATCTGCACTCATATGGTATCCATTCACACTGGATGTTCCTAAGAAGCAAAATCCAGGAAGAAGTCTGCAGGGAGATTTGTGACACTCAGATCACCAACTTTTTTTTTAAAAGGAAAAAGAACTTCAAAGTAGATAGGCAAGAACAATGACAAGTGGATGCCGAATGTAAAGTAGATTTTTGGTAAATAAAAAAAACACTTAGATTCAATTCAATGTAACCTCCAATTATAATGTAGATATCCAAACAAAGGAATTTAAAGAGGATAAATGTATGTACCACCCTCTCCAGCACTCTCTCCTTCCTGGCTATCATTTACCAAATTAGAAGAACTGCAACAAGACAATATACAATCAATTATGGCCGGCGAAAAAACATAAGTAGTGTAATTAATAAGACATAATGCAGCTATAAAAACAGGACATTGAGCAAGATATGACTAAAACTTTGCTGCTGCAAGAAAATATTAGGATCTGGTAAGAATATACTATATTGAAAACCAATGAATAATAGCAACCTTGTTCTACATCAGATTGTGAAATCCCAACTTTAGAATTTGATTCCTTTTCCAGTGATAAATCTTTTTTAGGATAGCAGCAACAATCATAAGCAAGCAGCCAGAAATCAGTTTCACTGTGCCAAATTACAAACCTTCAAGAATAGAATCAGAGAGACTTAAGAAAATCTCATGACAAGTTTTAAAGGACTGTCCCTCGTTCTCATTTCTCTTGATCAAAACAAGAATCTCAAATACAAGAAATAAATTGCTCTAAAATCTTACAAACCAGAGCCAGATACATTAGAATCTTATCTGGCTCAATTCCTATACCCAACAAATTTCTTTAAAAAAAATATATACTCATTTCTTCCGTATTTAATTTGAAGAGAGCGGATCCGCTTTGAGAGGAAAAATGAATCAATGAATAAATCTTGGACAACTGTGGAGTGCCTCGGCCAGTTGATCAGATGTGGATGTCGACGAGGAGGGTTTTCCTGCTACTCTTTCCTATACTAATTTCTTTTCAAGATCGATTGTAATGGAGTTATAAGGAGAGATAGCCTCATTAATTTCCTTGTGCGGAGCAAGTTGTCATCGCTATTCATCTATTCTTACCGTTCTCAAATGTTTTTAAAGTTTTTTTTATTATTTGATTCGAAAGAAAAAATATATTTGATGTAATGCTTTTTTAAAAAAGAATAGTAATAAATGAGTGAAAGACTGAATGTGTTTGTTAAATAGGCTGAATGAATAGTATAAATTCAATCCAATTTCCCAAACAAACACACCCCTTTTAACTCTGAGTATTGGCCAAATAAAACTAACTCAGTTTTCTTCTTTTTATCCTCACTATAAGATTTTTCAAAGCCACACTTTTTGTTTTAATAGTAGAAATAAAATAATAATAATAATAATAATAATAATAATAACTTTTGTCAATAATTTTTATATAGTTGATATTTTTGGTCAATTTTAGTCTATTATTATTTTTTTTTTATTATTTTCTATCAATTTTGATTTTATTAACATTAGATTTAATTATTTTTGGCTTAGCCCGGTATAAATTTGTTCATTTTGTACTGAACAATTACTTATAAATATTAGTATTTTAAAAAATGTAATTTATACGTAATATTAATATCATATATGTATAATATAATATATTTTGTCCATTTACAAACAAAATTAACAATTCAAACACAAAATTTGTATCACATATAAAAAAACACATACATTAAAAAAAATATTTATATTTTTTATTTTTAAAAAATATAAGTTATGAATTAAATTTAATTAGTAAATTTATTGAAACTTTAATATATTATATATTGATTAATTATTATGATTATTATTATATATTAAAATATTAAAATTTTATATTTTATATTTTAAAATAATTATAAAAATATTTTAGTTGAATGATAAATATATATCTTAAATAGTTTTAATGGTACGATGAACATAGTTGTATTAAATGCGACTATGTCCAATGCGATTGTCATTGACTATATGTAAAATTTTAGTCTAATTTTAATCGTTCAATACAATTATGTTCAAAATAATAAAGTATTCAATCTCGATATAAAATAATAATAATAATAATAATAATAATATAATAATAATAATAATAATAACAAAGTATTCAATCTATATCATCCTTTACAACATGAAAATTAATTAAGTTTAATTTTAATATTAACAAAATTGATCATAATTTTTTAATAAGATCATAATTAATTATTGTAATTTATAATTAATTCTTTTAGTATATTTTGTTCAATTTTAAGGTTTTGTTTTAGAAAACAGAACTATATCAAATATTTAACTCTATTTACTAATACAGTTTTACAAAAAGGGAAAAATTAAATAAATAGATATTTTACTTTACATGTTAGAAGAGAAGAAAGAAGAAGAGTTCTCCATATTTTGCATTTCTTAAAAGAGATTTTAGTATTTAATAGATTCGTAGGTTAATTAAAAGAGAAACCAAATATTGTAGACAATATTTATTTATGAAAAATTTTATCTAAGTTATGGAGAAAAATATCTTCCAATCGGGAGGCCATCTAGAGGGCTGGTAAAAATTAATTCAATATGATAATTTGACCTGAATCTGATCCGAAATAATTAGATTTGAGTTGAGATTTTGTAATTAATGAATAATTTGGTCAAACCTGTTTAACCCATTTAATTAAATGGGTCATATTTAGATCTAAATTTTCAACTTGAAAATAACTCGTCTAACCTGTTTAATTAATATTATTATAAATTTCCATATATTGTTTAAATTTTACTAATCAGACACAAATATTCATGGCCAAATTTATAAAAATAATAAAATAATATAATTTTATTTAAAAATTCTACAAAATTAATGTTAAACAAAGGAAAGGCTTTGATTTTTTTTTTTTTTTTCAGTAGATTGAAAAAAAAAGTTGTTTGTGTTGTGTACTATTATGTAGTTTTTGTTAATTCCAATATTGAATATCGATTTCATGAATAAATAGTTTTTGCTCTATAATATATATATTATGCATTTGAAAATTTTGTTAGTAAAAATTATACTTTTAAATTAAAATTTAAAAATTTTAAACTTAAATAGATTATAAATGTCCGGCTGACCCTATTAATAAAAGATCATGTTAAAGTTGCTAATATCAACCCATTTAATTAAATGAGTTAGGTTCAGACCAAAGATTTTTTAACTCATTTATAGCTAAACTAAATCTGAATCTGACTCTGATTCGTTTGTCAACCATAGCCATCTATAATGTTCTCACTGTTTACTTTTCGCATGGATTCTACTTTCGTGGTTTCTCATTTTACTCTTGTGTGCAAACATTGTCAATGTCGGGGAGAATAATTGCGTCGCACGGCGTCGTCACGTGCCCAAAATAGGTGGTTGTTGGAGTTTGCCGTGTACAAACTATATCTCATATTTTCAAGTCGTCGTCTTTTCGGTTTCAAATTCAGACGCACGGAGGAAGGGTGACTTATCCAGCGGCATTCAGCTTAGGTATTGCGAGCTTTTGACGCCATTGCTTCTTGCGAAAAAACATAACCTAAGTCTTGTTTAATCCTTCAAAATAATTTGACAAAAATGCAATTTGAATTAATGAATTTGTGCTTGTATCCTAATTGAAATTTCGACCTCTCTCTATTTGAGAAGTTGAAGCCGATTCCTATTCATTCATTATTATGCAAATAATTTTAAAACGAGTACAAATAAAATTAATCTATCTATTAGCTATTGCAATTACAATATAAATAAATACAGATTAATAATACAACAAATATTTGTTCTTTTTAAAATATCACATAACACTTTTAACTCAATTAATTTAAATATGTTGAAGATTTTGATTTTCGGCATGAGACTTTAGGTAAACAGTATTAAGTAGAATAAATTGAAATTTAAGTGATGTGATGAGAGAAGTATGTATTTATTTTTTTATTTGAATGGTGTAATTGGATAAAATAGTAGTTAATTATTTCCTAATTTAAAAATATTGCATGATATGTGGTACAAATCAAAATAATATATATATGTGTGTGTTGAAAAGTACGTGGAAAGCAGAAAATGTTTTTCTTTAGTCATTACAAATCAAAACCTTTAAACAAAAACAATTTCAAAATTTTTATTTCAAAAATTTCAAAAATCCAAACTGTGGATGGACAATTACGCGTGAGACCGCACCTTAGTTCAACAAAACCTGTAGTTGTTAGATTATGTAAATAACTCTTTCACCTAAAATCTTAAGGTCTCGAGGTCGAATTCCACTGTCCCCCATTTTTCGTCATCCACGGACAAGTTTAGTTTGGTGGCGTTTATCCCTCTTGCCATGAGAGGTGGTTGACTCTCATTTGTAGATAAATACATAAATGATTTATATCTCTAACAACCTAAGTTTTTAGGTGAGAAGGTCATTTACATCATCTAACATAGTATTAGAGCATGTTACCCTGTTACATAAAATATGCTTTGATACCATGTTAGATTATATAAATGACTGACCCACTTAAAAATTTAAATTGTTAAGGATACACATCATTTATTTATTTATCTATAAATGGAAGTCAACTAACACACCCCCATAGACGATGACAAATAAGGAACAGTGAGACTCGAATTCGAGACCTAAGGCTCTAATACCATATTAGATTATGTAAATGACCGTCTCATTGAACTTTTAGGTAAGACGGTCATTTAGATCATCTAACAACAGTTTGTACAATAGGTCCTCATTCTTTAATCCTGCAACTATTAGCATTCGCCTCTCTTCCCAACTTATGACTTTCCATTCTCCCATTTTGGTTTCCGCCGTTGAATGATTCATCCATCATTTGACCACCACCCAATAGGAATATTTGTATTGATGAATTTGATTTATATAATGTTGTGATGCAAGGATTGGAGTTTTAGAAATTCACAAAAGTTTCGGTTTTATATTGGTTTGATCATCTATATGTGTCTTTCTATAAACGATTCAACAGATTTTGTTTTTTAGTGTGGAAGTAAGAGGGAGATGCAAAAATTGGAGTTTTTTCAATTTTACTTTGATGACTGCCAAATTTTATGTGCATTCAAATTTCCAAATCTTTTGCTGGAAACCCTGAATGTGAAACTTTCTTCGACGTTGTTCCTCACATATGACTGTTGGACTATATCTCATTTCTGATTTCAGTAATTTGTGGTACAAGTTATGTTCTTGATCTGACTGGCTTCCATTCGAGCACTAGCACCACTGACTTCGAGAAGCTGCTGGAAAAATAAATTTGTGATTCGTTGGGTGAATGACACAACATCGATGACAATATTCAAAACGTCTTCCCTTGGTAATGCCAATTGCTTATGTGTTGAGATTTGTTTTTATATTTTTACTTTTAATGAATTGAATTCTAGAAGCATCATCGTGATTTGGTGAATTAGGCAAGTATGTGCAGAGTTCTTGTGAGACTGATACCTACTACAAACTCTAATCATAATCCTCTGTTTCCTACTATAGCTCGTGAGGCTATCAACTCCATTAGTTGCCCATTTAGTGTTCGTGGGCTTAGTGAGTGCGATGATTTGTTGTTCCGTTTCATTCCACCGAAAGATTTGGAGCCACCGCGGAAAAGGCCGCCGACCGAGCAATAACAGCTCGAAGGATGATTGCACATGCTATAGACGACGGTTGGGGGGTTGACGATGACAAAGCGTCGCATTGACCAAGTATCATTTGTTGCGGCATATAAATCTTTGATTCGTAAATTTGTGAGTAAATAGTTAAATCCTTGTAGATCAAGCAGTGAGATATCCTGCTTGAGGGTTGGGTCCCAGGTTTGCCTCATCAATTCGCCTCACTGGACGTTTCAAAATAGTTAAGGTAATCAAATTTATTAAGTTAATTATAGTAAGTTACGATATTATTTTATTATTTGACGTATTATTAATAATTTAAAAATAAAAAGTAATATATATAATTTAAAAAATATATAAAATATACCTTTAAATAATTCAAACAATATGCTTCAATAAAATATATTATAGGATATGAAAATGGTTTCGTAAAAAATAAAATTTTATATAATACAAATAAAGAAAATTTTATTAATAAATGAATTTTTTTAAATGTATATAAAGTATTGTTTATTGAAAAGAGATTGAAATAGATCATTTTAACTGAATTTGATTTGGTCTCATACGATGTAATATTTAAAAAAATAAAAAAAAAATTGAAATCATAATATCAATTCGAAACGAAATGGTAACCAAACGCACTCTAAATTCTCTCTCTGTCCGGCACAAATATACTATTTTGCTTCTTACATGTGGATTTTATATATTAGTATTTTTATAGGTAATAGTAATAAAAAGATAATTTTGTTCTTAAACTTATTTATCTTTTAGTTGTATTATTTGTAATTTTATTTAAAATGTCTGAGTATTTTTTATTAAAATAAAAGTATGACTGTAGATTAAAACTTGTAGAAAATTTTAAAGATGAAAATTTGTAGTAAATAATTAAAATTTTAAATTAAAGTAAATGCGATTAATTTGATTGCAGAAATTAATATTTATTAAATAAGTATGTAGTTCATATTTGCTCTTTTAGACTTTTCAGTTTTTAAATTAATAATGAATAATTAATAAAAATTGAATAAATAATAGTATATAATTCATTAAACATAAAAACATATTAGTAGCAATATAAATTATTTATATAAATATATAAAATTTAACAAATAGCAATTTACATTATTTTCTAATATATCTAGTAATATTATTTATTAGTATTTACATATTGTCTCTTCCTATAACATTAATAAAGGTAAAAAAATTTTCTCTCAAAATAATTATTGCCGTTTATTATTGTATCCGTCTAGGGGCGATGAGCATTGGTTGGTTCAAATCGAAAAAATTAAAAAGGATTTTCAATTTGGACTGTTTGGTTTGTACTGTTCGGTTAATTGGTTCGATTCGGTCCAAAATCGAATTTATAAATTTCTGTTTCGATTCGATTATGGTTTTCAATTTTTAATTTTGGTTAACCGAAATTCAGCGACAGGAATGTTGCACGACGGGCCGCACGATGGCGCCCGAGCCGGGGGAGGGCATGCGCCGTGCAGCGAGAATGATGCCCCTCCGGGCGTCGGGCTGGCGCACCACGAGGCGTTGCCGGCTTCCGGCTCGGGGGCCGACGGGCGGTCGGTTGGGGGCGCGGCCGATGCGGGCGTGCTGGATCGCCTCCCATTCGGCGACGTAATTTTGAGTATTTGTATTTGATTATATATGTAAAATATATATTAATAAATAAAAGTTCTGTTTCTTTGGTTTTAAACCATCGGTTCAGTTTGTTTGGTTTTAAAAAATTTTGGTTCAATTTCAATTTGAAATTTTATAAATCAAAATCGATCAAAATTGAAAGTTCGGTTCGGTTTGACCGAATCGACCGAATGCACACTCCTATATCCGTCAACCTATTTTAATTTTGGTATCGGTGTCTAAAATAAATCAATATTAAAAAAAAATAGAGTAAAAAAGAACTAGTCAAAAATCAAAATCGAAATACTTTCTATCAAAATAACTTACCAAAATCTGTTTAACAAAACGATTCAATATTGTTAGAGTACAATAAATAAGACCCACTCGCAGAACCAACTCCTTTAAAGAACATGAATAATTTCATTCTATGCTCAATTTGTAATATTACCCCCGTCCCAAAACTATAGTCTCGGTTATATTTGGCACAGAATTTAAGAAATATTAATATTATATTGACAGTGGGTAAAACGTACGTGTAAAAAACTTTTTTGCCCTTGTGAGTGTATTAGTGTAAAAAGTAGTGACAATTGTGTAATAATAATAAAAAAGTAAATGTAGTTTATAGTGATATATAATTATTTATAAAAATGAGACTATTGTTTTAAGACGGAAAAAAATGGTAAACATAACTATTGTATTGAGACAGAGAGAGTATGATATTTCTTAAAAATTAAACATGGACAAAAGCTTTAGAAAATTTTGTAAGCGATTATTTTCATATTACTAAAAGTTTTACGTCAATAATAGACAAATATAACAACGGAATTTTTGTAGTAAAAAAATCAGTGTGTTTGTTTGTGGATTTGAAATTTTTAATAGTAAAAAATTGAATTTAAATAATTATTTGACATGCCTTATCTCCAATTATGAGAGTTTATCACCTCTTAAGGAGGTATTTGTAGGAAAAAAAAAATGATGTATTGCTTAAACGATTTTTTTTTGTAATTTGAGTACTTAAAATAAAAATATGTATATTTTATAATTGAACTGAAACATTATTTAGAATATATGTCGTACTAATTATTTTAATTTTATTATCTCGTGTATCTCTTTCATCCACATCAATATTTAAATTATTTCTTTGAATACTAGTTGTAATTATTACTTCTAATTTATTATTTTTACTATTTTATAAAATTCATTCTAATTTATTTATTTTAATATATGTTTTTATTATATCATGTAAAAATTATTAAATAATATATTTTAATTTCAAGATATTAAATTGTGATAATATTATATAATTTTTATAATAATTTAGAAATATTAAAATTATTTAAGTTTGTGAGATTAGTGACATTTGAGAGATAGAATTATTAAAAGAATTTTAAATTGATGTATTATAGAAACAATTTTCATTTTAAACAGTTAATTCAAAAGTTAATTGAAAAGATTTATAATTGTATTGGTCATTTAGTTGAACTCATATGTTGTATAAAAATTTAGAGAAATAAAATTATTGAAATTTGATATGGAGTATAAAATTAGATAAATCTAAGTAATTGAAAAATATGTAGATAAAGATAAAATTTTGAAATAAATTTAAATTATATTTGTATTAATTAATTATTATTATTATTTTTTTTTCGTTTTTTATGGGAGGTAATAGTTCTTACAAAAGGTGATATATGTATAACGATTATAATTTTTAATTATAGTGACATTTGACATTTATGTATTATTGTAAGAAAATAAAGATAATTTTACGATGAAATTATTATTATAAGACAGAACTATTGCTTCTCGACAAAAATAGTACAGTATATTTTAAATTAATTAATTAATTAATTTTGAGAAATGAATGAATATTCGAAGTTGGTTAACAATCCGAAACAAACAGAGCGTAGAGAACGTTCTGGAACGTCGGCATCACTACTAGAAGCAAGCAAGCCCTAGCTACCTCTGCGCTTATTATTATTATTCGTCGCTACTTCCAACTGTCACTCCAAACCCTTCTCTCTCTCACACGCCCCGCATTTGCATTTGCATTTGCATTCGCTTCTTCAGCTACGTCTTCGAGCGATCGCCGGGATCCTCTTCAGTTTTTTCTCCAGAAATGGCTTCATTGGGTGCAATCTCCGCTTCCTCTACTCTGCCGTCGCTTTCTAAGAAGGTTGTGAGTTAATTTGGTCGACGTTATTTATATCAACATTTTTTTGTGATGGATTTTGTTTTGATTTGTGTGTTGCTTTTTTTGTTTCAGAGTGGGTTGAGGAGTATGGGAGGGACTCCGTTGCCTCGGGGGCAGAAGTTCGTGCAGAAACAGCCGAGGAACAGGTTTGCTGTGAGGGCTAGTGCGAAGGAAATTGCTTTTGACCAGAAATCGAGGTCGTCGATGCAGTCTGGTATCGACAAGCTTGCAGATGCCGTTGGTCTCACTCTCGGTCCCAGAGGTGACCTCTGTGTTCATGGGCTAGTTTTTTGTTTTTATTTAATGAATCGTGCTTCTGTGTGTTGGTACTTCTGTGTCCCATTTATTTGTTGGCGACAGTATGATGTGATGGCTGAAAATGAACGTGCAATGGATTCTTTACTCTGGAAATGATATTGATTGGGTTAGATCTTGTCGGCGTCGTTTCATTATTTTGACATGCGAAGGATATGTAGCAGTCGTGTTATTTGTTGCTTTCGTAATCGTCAATGGTAATTGCAGTAATTTTATGCCGACTGTTTTAAATTCGATTTCCTGTAGAAATTATGATGGAGTTATTTACATTTGATAGATTTTGTTGTTTGGTCTTGAAAGATACAATTTGGTTGTTGTGTGAAGAGGGCAACAGTGTAGTAATCTGAGTGGACTTAAACATTGCATTGTTTTTCCTTTTTAACGGTTTTCAGGAAGAAATGTTGTCTTGGATGAGTATGGAACCCTGAAAGTGGTCAATGATGGGGTGACAATTGCTCGTGCTATAGAGTTGCCTGATGCTATGGAAAATGCCGGTGCAGCTTTGATTAGGGAGGTTGGATTTTAAAATTTTATATTTCCTACTGCAAATTATTTTTGCCCTTTACATGTGTTAACAAATTGTGTTGTTATGTTTTCAGTGACTCCTCCCTTGATTTTATTTAAGTTGTTTGTTATTGATGTTTTGAATCTTGTGTGAAGGTTGCTAGCAAGACCAATGATTCTGCTGGTGATGGAACTACTACTGCATCGGTTCTTGCACGGGAAATTATTAAGCTTGGCCTTTTGAGTGTTACTTCTGGCGCCAATCCTGTTGCCATAAAGAAGGGTATTGATAAGACTACTCAGTATTTGGTTGATGAGCTTGAAAGGAAAGCAAGACCCATTAAGGGCCGGGATGATATTAAAGGTATTTTCTCATGAGGTCCCGATCATCATGGTTTCGAATTGAGATTTTCACGTCATTATAGCAATTTGATATGCTGAACTGCATTTCTTGCAGCCATTGCTTCCATCTCTGCTGGGAATGAAGAGATCATTGGAGCTATGATTGCTGATGCTGTTGATAAGGTTGGGCCTGATGGTGTTTTATCCATTGAATCATCATCTTCCTTTGAAACTTCTGTTGATGTCGAAGAAGGAATGGCGGTATGTTTGCAAATAGATGCATTTTGTATATTCACATTCTCTTTTGATTGATCTATGTTAGTTAGAACTTGTTTTGTGACGGTGATTTTTTTGGTTTCAGTTTGATAGAGGATATATCTCCCCACAATTTGTCACCAACCCCGAAAAGCTGTTGGTTGAATTTGAAAATGCAAGGATTTTAGTGACAGACCAGAAGATCTCGGCAATTAAGGATATCATTCCAGTGCTGGAGAAGACTGCTCAATTAAGAGCACCTTTGCTCATTATTGCTGAAGATATTACTGGAGAAGCTCTGACTACTCTTGTTGTGAACAAGCTCAGGGGTGTCTTGAATGTGGCTGCCGTTAAAGCTCCTGGGTTTGGAGAAAGAAGAAAAGCTATGCTTCAAGATATTGCTATTTTGACTGGTAAGGGAGCTTGTTCATCTTGAGTGATACAACGATATGCCATAGATCATTAGAAGTTATAGATTAAGCCTGTTTACGTTAATATTATATTTAGATGAATTAGGTAATCAAAATGATCGTATGATTAAGGTGTTTTTGGTTTAGTCATACCATATTGAAATTAGATTATAATGTAATGTTAAGATTTTATAGTGACCCTAATTATATAGGTGGGCCTTATTGTATTGTCTCAAAGTTGCTTGCATACATTTTATCGAATATTTTATATTTATTTTTCAGGAGCTGAATATCAAGCTTCCGAATTGGGCCTTCTTGTGGAGAATGCTGATGTGGACCAGTTGGGCATTGCTAGAAAGGTAACCATCAGCAATGACTCGACAACCATCATTGCAGATGCTGCATCAAAACATGAGATACAGGCTAGGATTGCTCAACTTAAAAGGGAACTGGATGAGTCGGATTCTGTTTATGACTCAGAGAAACTTGCTGAAAGAATTGCCAAATTGTCCGGTGGGGTTGCTGTAATCAAAGTCGGTGCTGCAACTGAATCTGAGCTTGAGGACCGCAAACTCCGCATCGAAGATGCCAAAAATGCAACTTTCGCTGCCATTGAGGAAGGCATTGTTCCTGGAGGCGGTGCTGCGCTGGTTCATCTCTCTGCGTGTGTCCCTGCCATCAAGGACAAGCTTGAGGATTCCGATGAAAAAATTGGTGCTGATATTGTGCAAAAGGTAGCTAACCTTGAAAAGTTTCATTAGTTAGAAATTAGGCTTGCTCGTTATTAGCTCCTGTCTTATTATTTGCTTATTTGTAGCTCGTTTAACGTTAGCCTAAGCTTTTCAGCTGGAGTAAAAAATTAGTTAACAAGTCGAGTTCAGATCATCTTTTTTAGTTCATACCAATCTTGTTAGGAAATAAGTAGCTGTGGTCATTGTTAGGCATTTAATGATCGAAGAATGAGATTAACATCTCTCTCTCTCTCTCTCTCTAGGTTTGGTTTGTGATATTCATAATGTGAATGAGCTTGGTTGCAGGCTCTAATAGCGCCGGCTTGTCTAATTGCAAAGAATGCTGGGGTTGAAGGCGAAGTGGTGGTGGAAAAGGTGAAGGCGGGGGAGTGGGGGTTTGGTTACAATGCGCTGACGGATAGGTACGAGAATTTGGTGGCGGCTGGAGTGATTGATCCGGCAAAGGTGACCCGATGTGCACTGCAGAATGCTGCATCTGTTGCGGGAATGGTGCTGACCACGCAGGCAATTGTTGTGGACAAGCCCAAGCCTAAAACGTTGGCGGGTGCGGCTCCGGGTGTTCCGGCAGGCATGGGTGGTTTCTAAATTTGATCTGGTAGGAAAATTTTGAGGAGGAATTCTTCTTGAGGTAACTTTTCATCTTTATTTAAGAAGAGAACGAAATTGCACTTTGAGTTAGTTGAGTTGAGTGTTGATTGGAACAAGGATTGATTGATTGATAAATAAACGATTCCTACCTATCTATCTACATAATGTTGGTTTAGGTAGTAGTTGGAATGGATGTTTAATAAGATTTGTCAAATGACATTTCTTAGTTTCGCTAATATACAGCGAAATAAAATATTTCTTTATTATTTATTTTTTTTTATGACGTGGGAATCGCAATACAAATTAGTTTCGAAGGCAAATCATACTAGACAACTATTTGAATATAATATTTTGTGATTAAAAATAATATTATCTCAATCTATATATATTCATTTCATTATTTTATTTTTATCCTTATAAAATTTGTTCATATCCTATTTAAACAAAATAAAAATCTCTATTTTGACTCATTAATATGTCTCCACCCCATTTGTGTTTTATTTCGATTTTATAATGGCTTAAAGCACCGTCGACGGCTTTTTCCCCCTCAGTCGAAATAAACTATTCGCAGTGGCCTTAATTTCGACCGCAAAAAATTGCGATCAAATAAACGACGCCATCTTTCTCTCTCCCTATCCTCTCTAGACATCGCCCTCCCCTCCTCGAACAATAGAAGCTCATCTCCTGTTTGTCCAAGCTCTCTTTCTCTCTCCTCTCAATCCCAATCCCAGCATTGGCTCATTTCTTTTCTTCTCCAAATCCAGTTTCATGGCATTGCCGACGCTCTCCTTTCTCTTCTTCCACAAATCCAGTTGTTCTCCTACCACTTCTTCCCTGAATCCAATTTCAATCGCCGCCGACGCTTTTCTTTATTTTCTTCTCCAAATCCAATCGCCAAAGCTCTCCTTCCTCTTCCCAAATCCAATTTCATCACCGCCGACGTCCTCCTTCCTCTTCTTCTCTAAAGCATAGCGACTGCCGGCCTGCCTCCACCATCCTAGGGTTTGCGGGAGAAGGTTTGCTGATGAGGGAATTGGAATGAAGTTCGGTGATGAGGGAATTGACGAAGGATTTTTTCAGAAAGCCACTGTAAAAGAATTTTACGCCTATAGTGGAAAACATCCTTCGACACGCTGGCTTCGGTTGACACGTTGGTGGGAAGGGCTCAATTGAGGCAAGAGCCATTGTTAGTGCTCTCAGTGTGAAATCCAAATTATAATCCAAAGAAAAAAATGGTATACAATATTGTTCGGCTCAAACCAAAGAGCATGGAAGACGAAAGCAAGCAAAAAGAACAAGGAACACCGCCGCCACCGGAATTGCCGTCGTCTCCTGTGGTCTATCAACCGGAACTAAAAAGCCATTGGGCATCTTTTATTGGTATTGATTTTATTAGCCTTGACACCGTGTTTTTATATGTTGATAGAGTTTATTTTTAGGATAAAGTATCCCTTCTACAAGATATATTAAATAACTGTTTAAGTGTGAATTTTTAATAAAATAAAAAATGTATTAATTGTTATCTCAAAAATATATATATATATATATATATTAATAGATTTGTCAATTGAGTTGGATTCAATTCCGTATCCACCCTCTCAATACGGTTTTCGAATTCGAAATCGGATCCATCAAACTTTAAATTTTTTTTACTGGATCTAATCTCGGGTCCAACATCCTTATACGGGTCAAGTCTAAATTATTTATAAATTTCATCAATATTTATAAAAATTAACAAGGTATTTTAAATTTTAAAAATAAAAAATAATCTAACTAACAATAAAATTATAATACCAAAAGATATATTTAACAGGTTAACTTACCGAAAATATCGAAATATCAATTTGTCGTACTGAAAAAATATCAATATACTAAAAACTTCGATATATCAGTGGCATACCATATTTCGACTATTTTGTCTCATTTTCTTGTGTTTCTCCTTCCCCTTCCTTCTACTTCTAAGTTGCACTGCCGCCTTCACATTTTTGTTATCTCTTTTCGCATTTCTTTTTTGTTTGCAATTTCTTCCGTCAATGGTAGTTGCCGCCGTCATTTTATTGTTCTTTTTCTTTTCGTCGTTTCATCTTCACCTAAAGAAGGGTCCTGTATGCCTCATCAAACAACAACGGGAAATAAAAAATCGTAGCTCTAGATCCGGTGGAAGTAAGCCGCGGTGCCGGTAAGCCGAATCTCCGGTTCGAACCGGCCATTGACTGTTTTTTTTATTTTTATTTACTTTAAATAATTAATCATATAAATATATTTCGATTGTAATATTTATTTTTTATTTCAAGTATATTTTATTTACTGAATTATAATTTTATCTTTATAAATTTAAAATAATTAATTTTTATTTGTAAAATATATAAATTTATTAAAATTAAATAAAAATATAAATCTTAATAATTTATTTCTATTATATTAATTTAATATTATAAATAAAATAAATTTATTGAAAGTTATATATATAATAAATCAATCGATAATTAATAGTATAATAATTATATACATACCCGAAAGATATATTATTTCATATTTTACACCATTCATAATAAAAAAATATTACTTATATTTTTAATAAAACATTATTATTTTCTTAAATCTAAAAAAAATAATAAATATTTTATAATATTTTACAATTTTTAATATATTGCGGATGAAAGTAATTAATAACAATAAATTTCAAAAATTTTAAACTAAAAAAATTACAATTAAATACTTTTTTTTAAAAAAATATATAAATATTTTAAATTATCATTTCAATAACAAATATCAAACAATTTATTTTTATCAACATGATTGTTAAAACTAGGGCAGACTGGACAGAATCTGAAATCACTCTGGACGTGAAGTACCCAACACCAACACTACTGTTGTCCGATTTTCTTCTGTCCTGTTCGAGGTATGTGATTTCTTGATTGACGGATATTGTGAGTTTTAAGCAAAACTGTCTTCGAATTTTGTTTATGTGCTTCGAAAATGGTTATTTTCTCCTCCCTCACTAGTTATTGTAAACACGAAGACCTTGCATATTGATATTTGATGTGGAGGAGATCAACGATTTTGAGTTTCAATTCCTTCCACCACCCTCCCGAATTTTTAACTCTCTCTCCAAACCCGACGAAATTCCACTGCAAATACTCTAATTTCGCTGCATTTCTGATCGTTTCTGTGAATTTTTGTTGTTACTATTCGCGATTGAAATTACACGAAAATGGATTTGGTTTGGAGTTTATGCTGGTGGTTGGTGTGGTTTTAGATTCATATTCTTGCCTGCTATATTTTGCTTTTAACGCAACAACACCTTTGTGCTGATAATGCCAAGATCTCAAACGAGACTTATCTGTCATTCTGCAAATTATTTTATGCGGCTTTTCTGTGTTCCTGATTTCTATTCAGTGTTATTAATCAGGTGGATGGATGAATGGTTGTTGCATTGTTGACTTCTCTATTTGTTTGTGGATTAGTGCATGGTTGTCACTGTTTCCTTGTTTCTGGATGTTTGGCTTAGGAATTTGTATTTTGAATTTCATCCTGTGATTTGAATTATGACAAGGAGCTTGAATGCTTGTGCTTGCTGTTCGATCTTCTCTTCGGTTTATGGTGCATTCGTTTGTTTTTTTATAAGGCTTTTGAGAGATGGAAACACAATTATATTACAGTATTATAAGCAATTTCTTTTATTGGAGGATTCATTTCTTAATGGTGGTGGTGAATTATCAAAAAGATTTGACCTGGCTTGAATTTTGAAACCAAAGGAAGACTTGTATGTTTGCATTTCAGGTTTTATAATGCAATGCAAGGTGTTATAGTTAGAAGAGTTATTCCTTCCAATAATAGTTGTCTTATCCATAATCATTTACTATAAACTCTAATCGGGGATTGTTTCGGTTTTATCTTTTTGCGCAGAAAATGCCGTCTCTCCAAACAGTAATGCCTCCAGAGCTTGCCAATAATACCTTAAGGGTTAGAAAGAATATTCTTCATTTTTATTCTGTATCTTCTTTCGATTTTTCAATTATCATCATACAGTTACTAGAGAAATGCATAAGAGTTATTTTTCTGAAGCAGTTAATAGATGTTAGAGCACGCCTTTGAGTCATTTTAATTACTAAGAAAGTAAAGATAACAATTTTTATTTCAAAACAGAAAGTTTGAATGTAGTATCACGAAATCATTGGTGAGTTAGTTTAAATCTAGTGTTAAATTGTTCCTTTGTTTCCTTCCTTAGTTTAAGCACCTTTCAGGTATATTTATGATTATAAAAATAGGCATCATAGCAAGCTTACAAGTTCCCACTACACTGTTGAAATCAAATGTTATAGCCAAATAAGATTTCAAGAAAGAGTCCAAATTTTTTTAATATGCATAGATTTCTATATATCCTTTTGATCAGATATTGAATTGATCATCTGAAGAAGAATTTGGCCAAAAATTAGTCCACCTTGTATTCTTCCTCTGAAGCTGTCTTCAGTTTCACCTTTTAAATATTGTGATTATAAGTTTGGTGGCTGTTACTCTACAAAGGGCCTAAACAAGCTCTTGCGTTCTTGTTTCAGCTATATCGTGAGTGCCTACGAAGAGCTAAATTTATTGGTCAAAAGGTATACAATTCTTTACTTTATTTTAAGAAATTAAATTATGTCCGAATGATAATATGGTATATGAATGAATAGTTTGTTTTAGCTCCACTGTTGGTTTTTATTTTAGAAATTGTGGTGTCTACTATTTGATAAGCTGATTCAACCAAATAAAAACTGCCGATTGCATGCATTCAAGGTATTGATTGTAACATAGACAAAAATATCAGCCTTTTCTGTTTCTAATTTACTAGCCACACTAGCATTTGCCTCCCATTACACTACTGATCAATTCTTGGAAGCTTCAAAAGTTTTATTTCTAGTTTTTTTTTGCTCAATTCTCGTAGGATTTGCTTCCAGCAAAAGCAGTAGAAAGAACTGCAACAACATATATTCCTTTGTTGAATTGGTGCTCTACTAGATAAATTTACTTTTATGTAGGTTATTGACTGTAAGTATGAGCGGGTTTGAATGTCTTTAGTTTGTAATACAATTAATAATTAAATAATGATTAAAGCTTGAATATTGGTATATGTGTGTATTTGAGCAGTGACTTTTTTAAATGGCTGTGTATATGGTTTGAACATAAATCAAATTCTAAACTTGCCTCCAAAATTATGAAGAACCATAGACCACGAATTTAAATTTTAGGACGGTCCTGTCGACTTAAGGAAACCATAAACTTCATCCTTACATTTGGTCATTTGGTTTTCACATTGCCTCACTTAAGAGTTATAAGAATTGTCGGTAAAAGATGAATATAGCCTTTAAATTTGTTATGTCTTAACTTTTGTTTTGTTTATGAACTACTTAAGTTTCGAAGTAATTAAACATAAAATAGAACTGATGCTTCACATTTGCTCTTCTTGAATGCAGAAGTACAATACGGAAATTCTTGTTACCATGGTTAGAGATGAATTCAAAAAACACATGCACGAGACAGATCCTGAGAAGATTCAAAAGTTGCAAGACGAGTGAGTCCTGATTTAACTTGAAATATCTTTGCTATTGACTCTTTTCAGTTACAGGAGCCTTGCATTTGCATCTGTTACTTTTAATTCTCTCTTTTTACATTGCGGTCATTTATATTGCTTCTTACTTGACGAGCAGTGCTGCAAGGGGACTGATCAATCATATGATATATGAATCGGAGAGCATGACTGGACGAAAATTCAGTAAAGGCGCGGCCTGATTCTGGTCATCCTCAACTGTACTTGGTTGATGCGGTACTCGGCTTTTCCTTGCAAAATGTGATAGATACATTGAAATTATTCTTTCTTAAAATTATGATTGGACAATGCAATAACAACCAACCAACCAAGATTATGTGTTAGCCTGAAAAATGAAAATAATTTTTATTTTTTTAATCAGGGCACAGCATGAAAAGGGAAATTGATATGGCAGCATTGACAGTCAAGTTTTTGAACATTTGGATCCTTGCAGAACAAATGTGTACTTGAGATTTGATGTTATCGGATGTGATTGATTATCCAACCAAAATGAGTAATTAGTGATGCATGATTGGATTATTATGCAAATTGGTAATAGCACTTTATGCATCTTCGATCAGATTTTTAATAAGTGAGTCCAGTAGTCCTTAACGAGCTAGGGATAGTGAGATTGAATTATTGAGTCATCATCCTCATTCTGGGTTTCCATTGCCCATTGGAGCCGAGGCACTGATGGCTACTAGAAACGAGGCCCAGACCTGCTGGATTCTCTTCTTGTCCAAATTCGATTCACTCAAGTTGCCAAATGCTTATTTTGTGTTCTCTCTTTACCCCACCTCAGGCCAGATGGTACAAAGAAGGCTTATGTTAGGTTGATGCCCGGCTACGTTGCATTGGATGTTGCCAACAAAATTGGGATTATCCGAGTGAATCCCTCTCCTGATTTCTATTTATGCATATGTCTTGAAAGGGCATTGGATTGTTTAAGTTTCTTGTGAAAAAGATATCTCAAGTCCCTCGATTTTTTTTTCTTCTTTCTATTAGTAATAGGTTGGTTTATTTGTAGAAATTATTTCTGAGGCAGGTTATTTGATATTAATATATTATTTGATTATATGATGTGTTTGATTGGTATTTTGGTATTTGGTTTTGTGTCTAGGGGTTATACTTAATGCTTAATAGGTTGTTAACCTTTAGCAGTTCTCTGTTCAATTAACAGAACATCTTATCCTATTCTTCATGTTCACATATATGTATGTACAAAAGAATTTCAATCTCTCAACACTTTTGCTAGTAGTAGTAGCCATTAATCCATCTTATTCCATCTTGGAGGGCTTTTTCGAGCGATTCCAACTCGATTATTATGTCTTCCACAGCCTGTATGCACACAACATAAGAGGAAGACACACAATTCCTGACTTTGATTGTTCATCCCATAGACACAGCAAGCTTCGAAATTAAAAGACAAACTGTGTAACGTGTCCGGAAGCTGATATGGCCGGCGCCTAGGCCACGCCCGTGTGAGGCCCAAACCAGCCGTCCCCTGTGCGCAACATGCTCGGGATATAACATACAATATGAGAGAATTATGCGGAACACGTACTTGCATCAAGACATATGCCGTCAATCAGTCGTACAGGACAGGGGCTCGTACACATGAGACGGATTATGGCCGAGAACCTGGGCAGAAATGTCAACTCGTGACAGTACTCCTCCACTTCATGTCGCAAATGCCCTCTCGCGACGCTATTCAAGTGCACTGACATTGTTTCTTGCACCCTCGATATGCTTCCGACGTCACTCTATTGACTCTCTTCTGCATACCCTCACTCATTATGCTTACCAACAGCCAGCGAGATCTTTTGTCATAGACAACCACATGCGACCGATTCTGCCGCGCATCTCCACACACCATCCGGGACACCCTTTGTTGCGGTTTGTGCGATTTTCGCCCAAGATTGTACTTAACGTGGTTTTTTCCTCACGAACAAAGCTCGGCCAACTGGCATGCTCCTCCCCGAGCAATGTCCCACTTGTTCGCTTCGTTCGCCACCACCGTCAAGATTCGCTCTGATACCATAAGTAACGTATCCGGAAGCTGACACGCCCAGCGCCTAGGCCACGCCCGCGCTGAGGCCCAGACTAGCCGTCCCTGTGCGCAACACGCCCGGGATATACTATACAGTATAGGAGAATCATGCGGAACACGTATTTGCATCAAGACATATGTCGTCAATCAGCCGTACATGACAAAGGCTCGCACAAATGAGACAGATTATGATCGAGAACCTGGGGCAGAAATGTCAACCCTTGACACCTGAGTCTTGGACACTGTAAACCTCAATTCTAAGTTTTAAGTGAGAAAAAAAAATTTTCATTTAATCTGCTCGATACATCAAGGAATAAGACTATTAACCAAATCATATATAGCAAGTAAAGAAACTAACAGTGGTCTCAATCTTGGAATCTCAAATTCAATCTTTGAGTTTCAGCATAAAAAAATACTCAACCAAATCCTCTAAAGTATTCGGCATCTCCCGCAACTAAAATTCAACGTGTAATGTACATAGAAAACACCAGCCAAATCCAAACCCCAACCAAAATGTGTAATACTCTTTCTGTTCCGGGTTATTGATACATTCGATTAGGGATAAAGTATTTTAGGTAGTATAGATTAATAAGTTATGATATTATTTAGTTTTTTTTTTATACGAGTAATATTGTTGGTATTTAAAATATTTTTAGTATTATATCTCAATAAAATATATACAATATAAATATACACAATATCATTTTTGTAGATAATAAAATTTTTATATAATATAAATAAAATAAAAATATATTTATTTATTTATAATTAATTTAAAATTAATTTTATAAAAATTGAGAAGTTTTGAATATATAAAAATATTTGTTCATTGAGGAGGAAATAGAAATAAAAGAGTTTTGAGTGGATCATATGAGGATAAAATTTTAATTAAATCGATTTATATTTATCAAGTATATTTAAGATGAATAAATTTATTATAAACAGAACACGGTCGTCTTTTATAGACAGACACAAAAAAAAAAAAAGTTATATGTGGCAAGAGCAGGGTAACAAACAAAATTATGGTTACTTAGGATGTTAGGGTGGGATTGACCTGCTGGTCTGTCAACCTATATTTCCAATTTAGCATTTTTCAATCCCTGCTCACAATATAGTGTGTAAATTTACGGATAAATCTTTGTAAAGATAGTAAATCTATTATCATCATCTTTTGGTCAGCCTCATTTGAAAAGAAATTAAAATAGGATATTGCAGATGTTAGATTGCCAATATGCTACAATTAAACAAAATATTGATGCAAAGAAACACTTTAGCAACAACTTAAGACTGGAATTTTTGTTTCATGGAATGAAAAAAAAAAACGATAAAGAATTGATTCTCGCATAGCACCAAAATCAGGAATTTGCTGTTTTTCAGAGCTTGATCAAAGAACTTCTTTCAAAGTCTTCCACCAAAGTAAATAAATCAAATTAAAATACTACCAATTATTCATTTATCACCCATTACAATTAAAGTATTATTATTTCTTAAATTCTCCATCAAAGTAAGTGTATACTTTTTAACTTGATGGAAAGAATATTATATAAAGAGTTTATAATAATGTAGAAATGTCTTTGGTCTCGCATAAAAAAAATAAAAATCAAGTTGTTAAATCGATTATCCATTGAAAGATTGATTGATGAATTGCATGAATCTAATAACCAAAATTCATTAACAAAAATAGAGAAGGTTAAAGTACTAATCCAGACAAAAATATATTTTTTGCATCCACAGAATGTACTGGCACTAAATCCTTGTTCTTCAACGGCTCTTTTGACAAGTCATACACCTTGATATGCATAGTTCCAAAGAGAAACTTGTTGAAACTGTCATTCCAAGATGATTGTGAAGTGGAATGACACTTGTTGGAGGCAAGTAAAAGATTTCAATATGTTATGATTGAAAAAAGAAATATCATTAACCATTAGAAATGAAAATTTCCATTAGAAATATTAATTTCTCCAATCATTGGTGGAAAATTGTAGATTATTCACCGAGAACTTGTCACATTCATAGATGTGAAGATATATTATGGTAAAAGTTCTTTCAAAGATGAAAATCGACATATATGACCGTAGCTCAACATCTGCTTGAATCATCCCATCTGCATAGATTACCATTCAATAAACTATTAGGCATATTCAACACAAAAGAAACATAAGTTAACATATTATATACCTACAAATTCTTGAGGTTAAATATAAAAATAATGAATATATTTATAATTTCAAGAGTTTAGAAATAGAGATTTTGAATCTCATTCGCAATTTGGGAGCATGTAGGTCAAATACAGTTAAATAAAGACGACGATCAGGTTAGACGTAGAGCTTGTGAAACAATTAGAGAATTTGATGCAGTTTTGAAAATATGAAAGATTTGGCGTAATTTCGTAAAATAACATGTGAGCTTTATGCAGTTTTGCCTATAATATATTATAAATTGTAACTATATTTTTTAAAGACTAAGGGAGTATTATTTTTATATTACTAATCCATATTCTCATTTTTAACATTAAAAATACTCACACAAAAGAACACAAGGTAAATAAACTTGTTTAAAAACTTTTGGAGTTTTTATAGTTAGTTATTAAGAATTGTTAATGTATTATTAAATCATTTTGCTTTTTTAAAAATTTTTGTTAAAAAAAAAATAATATTATTTTTATTTAGAACAATACATAGTGTTTTTTAAAATGAACAAAACCCAAAATTGAAGCTTGGTTTTATTATATCTTATTTTCATCCTTATTGAATATTAATTGAACTATTTGTTTATATCATTATGAACCTAATTTGTGTATTATTTCAATGTATGTAGACTTCAAAATTAAAGCTTTTAAAATTCAAATTGTCACATCGAAGTACCAAATTTTTTGTTATCAATTTAAACATGCATGAATGAGCATTTTACTATCTCTATAATACTTCATTTTTATTTGTGAATTGACAAAAATTGTTTGTTTGTTTGTTCAAATGGATTTTATACTATTCATCATTTTCTTTCATTATAATCATATAATCAAATATTTATATTTATTCAAAATATTATAAAGGGTGCGTTTCTGTTGTTTTTTTTTGAATTTGAGATTATTTTTTTTATATATCAAATGCAAAAAATAAAAATAAAAATTTATCGTTAACATAATTTTTTTTTTATTGAATTATTGATATTTTTTTTTTGAGATGATAGAATATATATTATATAAACATATATGTTGTATTATTTATAATCTCTATAAAAAAACATCATCAAAAACTTTTGATTGGGTAAACATATCCAATACAATTATTTAATGTAGAATATTACATTAAATATTTGTTAAGTAACATCAAAATTTATTTGAATTCAAATTTTTATTATTATCAAACTTCAAATCTAATTTCAACTATCGAACAACAAATCTGACTAGGATCATTGAAGTTGATAATAGTTCCATTATATTTTTATATTATTATGTAAATTTTTAATTTTTTGTGGTATTTTTCTTAAAAATATAAAATAGATAGTATTTGGTATAATTTACATTATAAAAATTAATATAAATATGTTAAATTATTTTTCACCATTAACATATAATACAAAAATATATTTGTGTTGTTTCAAAATTGATGTTTTGCATGGTCAAATATTATTTAACATTTAAGGAAGACAACGAAAACTATAAAAATATGAAATGTTCAATTATTTAATGGAGAATATTACATTAAATATTTTTCAAGTAACATCAAAATTTATTTCACTTCACA